AAAAAAGCGGCGGCCATGTTTATTTAAATCCCGCGGGGGATATTTAAATCCCACGCGGATTTCCCTATTCCCACATTCAAAATTAGCATGCCCCTTCCGAAAAAGGGGCCAGTGTAGACACAGCCCTAATAAATCTAACCTAACCACACAAAGCCTGACTCTGCAAAGCTATGACTAAAAAGACATGTTTACAATAGCTTGCTGCACGTAGGGCAGTTTCAGCAGCTGATAATGAGATGGCTGCACGTACATAGAATCATAGAATCATAGAATAATAGGACTGGAAGGGACCTCGAGAGGTCATCGAGTCCAGCCCCCCGCCCTCAAGGCAGGATCAAGCTCCGTCTACACCATCCCTGACAGATGTCTATCTAACCTGTTCTTAAATATCTCCAGAGAGGGAGATTCCACCACCTCCCTTGGCAATTTATTCCAATATTTGACCACCCTGACAGTTAGGAATTTTTTCCTAATGTCCAATCTAAACCTCCCTTGCTGCACTTTAAGCCCATTACTCCTTGTCCTGTCCTCAGTAACCAAGAGGAACAAATTTTCTCCTTCTTCCTTGTGACACCCTTTTAGATATTTGAAAACCGCTATCATGTCCCCTCTTAATCTTCTTTTTTCCAAACTAAACAAGCCCAGTTCATGAAGCCTGGCTTCATAGGTCATGTTCTCTAGACCTTTAATCATTCTTGTCGCTCTTCTCTGTACCCTTTCCAATTTCTCCACATCTTTCTTGAAATGTGGCGCCCAGAACTGGACACAGTACTCCAGCTGAGGCCTAACTAGCGCAGAGTAGAGCGGCAGAATGACTTCACGAGTTTTGCTTACAACACACCTGTTAATCCTCGTAAAATGAGGTTTTCCTAGTTCGAACTAAGCGCTCCGCTAGTTCGAATTAAATTTGAACTAGCGGAGCGCTAGTGTAGCGCCTATGAAAGTTAGTTCGAACTAACTTTGTAGTGCAGACATACCCACACTGACTCATATTTAGCTTGACCCCTAGATCCCCTTCTGCAGTACTTCTTCTTAGGCAGTCGCTTCCCATTCTGGATACTGTGTGACACGGATTGTTCCTCCCTAAGTGGAGCACTTTGCATTTGTCCTAGCTGAACCTTCCTCCAGTAACCGCCAGTAGCTGTCCTCTTTCAGTACAGGTGTGGCGAGGACACAAAAGGCCACCCTTTAGGCAAGCAGATTTGTAAACGGCCAGAGTCTCTGGTGCTGTGCTACCTAGTGTTCTGCTCAAAACTTACCTGTATCTCTGCCTTGAACAGCCCCAGCGCGTGGGCGCAGACAGGGTGTGTTTCTCTCTTCTCCTTTTAGGGTGCAGCCTCTGGCTTGTCTGCCAGTTTGCTGAGAAATGTACTCCATCACCAGGACCAAACAGGAAGGAAGTGAGATGTGTTGGTCTGTGCCCTATCGGACACTTGCTCAGAAGAGGGGCTAGAATGACTGATGGTTTGCATGTGGGTGGTGATGAGGGAAATCTCTTAGCCAGAGCTGGACAGAGAATGGTTCAGACAGGAGTTTTACTTCTCACTGACATGAGAGAATCCCTTCTGAGGGTGTTCGCAGGCAGACTGGAAGGTCCCATGTTTGCGTGGGCTGGCTGGCCCTGTTGAGAAGAAATCGGAGTACAGCCTTGCAGGACTTCAAACAATCGACTTGGAAATTGTTGCAGCGGATACACTTCCAGGAAGCGTTCAGGCTTTGAACCTGGCCACTGAGGAAAATACTGTCCACGAGCTTCCCAGCCTGCTCTGCTCTCCCCGTGTCAGAGGAGCAACCTGGCCTCCTCGGTCTCCATCTGCCCCTGAGCCCACAGCGCCACTCAGGAGACATCATCGGAGGGCACCATAACCAGAGCAGCAACTCCAGGCTCTCTGCTGCACCCTGCCTACACTTCTCCAAGTGTCGAGTAGTGCGGTGATTGCTACACACCAGCCTGCTCCCGGACCCTCCATCTCCCGCGGCTCTTCCTAAAACCGTGTGGAACTCGCTCTCATTCAAAGCCTTCCCCTTACACCTGCACAGAAATACCTGGAGGCCTCAGCGATCACGTGTCTATGGGATAATGCCAGTGTCTGCCTCTCTCCAGGTGACCCCAGACTCCCTGGTCTACAGCACAAGCCTGTCCTACAACCCAGTGACCCTGAGAACCAGGCCAGCTGCGAGTCCAGGTGAGCCCAGGGACAGGGCATCTCAGTCACCCATCGTCAGCCCCTGTCCCGGGAGCAGGTTCAGCATCGGAGGTTTCTTCCTCTCCCAGGAAGGACAATGTGAGCAGCAGTCAGCCTGGGTCCCCTTCAGCCCCACCTTGTCTGCAGAGGAGAGGCCGGGCGTCTCCCTGCGCCTGATGATGGAAATACCCTGCTTGCCAGTGCATAAGAACAAAGGAACAGCCTCACTGGCGCAGACAAAGGTCCCTCCAGCCCAGCGGCCGGTCTGCCCACAGTGACCGGCGCCCGGTGCCCCGGAGGGGGGAACAGAACAGGGAACCCTCACGTGATCCCTCCTCCTCGTCACCCATTCCCCGCCCCTGACAAACAGGCTGGGACACCATCCCTGCCCAGCCTGGCTAATAGCCACCGATGGAGCGCGTAGGTAGGTGGATTTACCACCTGGTGGGCTCACAGGTCTCTGGCTCCATCGAGGATGGTAACCAGAAGGCTGCTTGTGTGTGTGCTCAGTGATGTGGGCCCAATGAGCACAGCAGACCCCATGAGGGCCCACAACGACCACTACCAGATACGGATCAATGGTGCCAGGCCGGGTTTATTGTAGAGCAAAGTGCAGTAACAGTCGTCAGTCGACTCTACTGAACCACTACGCACGTGTACTTGCCACAATGGAACGACTAAAGGCTGTCTGCCCAAGACACCACCTTATATACAGGTACAACAAGTCACACCTCACTGCTGATGGTGTCAGGTTACCACCCTCTGCCGCTACTTAGATACCACCCCACCCCTGTACCTTGTGGTTTGATTAGCTCATCATGTGTCATTTTAGACCTTTTCCTGAACCTGTGGGGAGTGGGCCCCAAGGTCTTTTTTAATGAGCGAATGGTACCGTGTGATTTCAACTTCTGTTCTGCACCCGGGCCCATGGCCAGGTCCTGTTTTGTACTCTCAGCCCTGTTTGTGCCAAGTTCTGTGAGCTGGAGCCTGCCTCTTCCTCACAGCTTCGCTTTGCTTTGCTTTATGTTCGCCATGTTCTGCCCATTGCCACCGAGGCCTCAGGCCTCAACCCACGCCTGTGCTGCATGGGCTCATGTTTCAGGCCCTCGTCTTACTACATTCCCCCCTTTTTGTTTGTCCTGGGGAGGGTGTTTACCCATCGTCCCAGAAATGCACAGTGCAGGGACTGAAGGAGACCCAGAGGGCTAAGCACTGTTCTGCGGACACCTGCCTTTACCGTTCCTGCCCCACCTGTGCCTTGGTCTTCACATTCCCTTCTAGGACAGATGGAAATGTTTGAAGTGGTCCTGGGCTGCACCAGAAGGGGCGGGGCCAGGATACTTCCCTGCTTCCCCCCAGCCCATGATTGGTGTGGGAGTGGGGGCGCGCCTTTGCCCCCTCCAGAGGTTCCCCCTTGGCGCCCACGCCCCTGGGTGGGAGGAGACTTTGTGTGCTCCCCCTTCTGCCCCAGGCCAGTCAGGGCTTGGGGGCAGGGGAGCGCGCTTCGTCTCCTCCTGCCCTGCCAGCAGCACATGGCGCTTGTACGCGCCGCATGCTCCTGGCAGGGCGGAGGAAACTTCATGCGCTTCCTTCCAGCGCCAGGCCCTGATTGGCTTGCGGGTGGGGTGCATCAGGGCGATGGGGGCCCCTTTGCCCACCCCTGGCCTGGGGGGTTCGGGAACCCAAGGGCCCAGGTGCTGGCCAGGCTGGAGGCAAAGTCAGCAGAAGGGGCGGTTGCTGTGCAATCCCTGTCTAGCCAAGGTGCTGCTCCGGGGTGGGGGTGGCTCCGATGGGGAAGCTCACCCTGCCCGTTCCATCCTGCCCCCGGGGCATGCCCGCCCCACTGCCGGAGCCTTGGGCGGCCGTATCGGCCCATGAGCTCAGCAGCAGCCTTGAATGCTCCTTATCACCTCTCGCCGCCCAAACACGCCAGTGGCACCAGCCTGTTCGTCTCCAGCGTCCGATGCCATCTGTAAACAACAGGAGCCTGGGACAGTTCCCTTGGACAGGCCTCGCGGCCAGCTGGGTCTGGTCAGGTTTCCCTGTCCCGGGCCAGGGAGGGGCTGTGATTGGGCCCCGGCTGCCTGCGCTCCAGGGGCGGGTGTTCATCGCCAGGGCTTAGGTGGGGTATGAGGGCCCAGAGCAGCAGTTCCCCTCCAGGCTGGCTTGGCTGCAGGATGGGGTCCTGGCTGGGCTTTGCCCTGCTGTGCTGGACACTCAGTGGGGTGGCCTGTTACAACCCCTGGGATTTCTCCAGGAGCGACTCAGCCATCTGGAGACCCACCCCCAGGGCTGAGCCCCCTCGCAGACAGGCCCATGTGGCCTCCCCTGCCCATCCCTACGCCTGGGCTCGGGTTGATGCTTCCCAGCTCCGGGCTGTGTCCCTGGGGCAGCCTGTGACGGTGCAGTGCGAGGAGGCTCAGATGGTGATCACGGTGCACAGGGATCTGTTTGGGACCGGGCAGCTGATCAAAGCTGCTGACCTGAGTCTCGGCACGGCCGCCTGCCCGTACACGTCCCTCGGGGCTGCGGAGAACACGGTCACCTTTGCAGCTGGCCTCCATGAGTGCGGCAGCACCTTGCAGGTAAGAATCCCTCACCCGCTGGAATCCCCTTGGGGAGAAAGCTCTCGCCTGCTGGGCAAGAAGGGGTCAAGTGCCCTCGTGTCTGCCTTGTGCCAAAATCCTCCGCCTGGCATTCCAGAGCGATGCGATGTGCTGCGTGCCGCGCCAGAGCACCATGCCTGTGACCTGGCTGTGCGTGCCACGCCAGAGCGCCGTGCCTGTGACCTGGCTGTGAGTGCCGCGTCAGAGTGCCGTGCCTGTGACCTGGCTGTGCGTGCCGCGCCAGAGTGCCGTGCCTGTGACCTGCTGGCTGTGCGTGGCGTGCGGGCCCCGTGCCTCTGACCTGCTGGCTGTGCGTGGCGTGCGGGCCCCGTGCCTCTGACCTGCTGGCTGTGCGTGGCGTGCGGGCCCCGTGCCTCTGACCTGCTGGCTGTGCGTGGCGTGCGGGCCCCGTGCCTCTGACCTGCTGGCTGTGCGTGGCGTGCGGGCCCCGTGCCTCTGACCTGCTGGCTGTGCGTGGCGTGCGGGCCCCGTGCCTCTGACCTGCTGGCTGTGCGTGGCGTGCGGGCCCCGTGCCTCTGACCTGCTGGCTGTGCGTGGCGTGCGGGCCCCGTGCCTCTGACCTGCTGGCTGTGCGTGGCGTGCGGGCCCCGTGCCTCTGACCTGCTGGCTGTGCGTGGCGTGCGGGCCCCGTGCCTCTGACCTGCTGGCTGTGCGTGGCGTGCGGGCCCCGTGCCTCTGACCTGCTGGCTGTGCGTGGCGTGCGGGCCCCGTGCCTCTGACCTGCTGGCTGTGCGTGGCGTGCGGGCCCCGTGCCTCTGACCTGCTGGCTGTGCGTGGCGTGCGGGCCCCGTGCCTCTGACCTGCTGGCTGTGAGTGCCATGCCAGAGCGCCGTGCCTGTGACCTGGCTGCGCGTGCCGCGCCAGAGCGCTGTGCCTGTGGCCTGCTGGCTGTGCGGGGCGTGCGGGCCCCGTGCCTGTGACCTGGCTGCGCGTGCCGCGCCAGAGCGCTGTGCCTGTGGCCTGCTGGCTGTGCGGGGCGTGCGGGCCCCGTGCCTGTGACCTGGCTGCGCGTGCCGCGCCAGAGCGCTGTGCCTGTGGCCTGCTGGCTGTGCGGGGCGTGCGGGCCCCGTGCCTGTGACCTGGCTGCGCGTGCCGCGCCAGAGCGCTGTGCCTGTGGCCTGCTGGCTGTGCGGGGCGTGCGGGCCCCGTGCCTGTGACCTGCTGGCTGTGCGTGGCGTGCGGGCCCCGCCTGAGACCTGGCTGTGCGTGCCGCACCAGAGCGCCGTGCCTGAGACCTGGCTGTGCGTGCCGCACCAGAGCGCCGTGCCTGAGACCTGGCTGTGCGTGCCGCACCAGAGCGCCGTGCCTGAGACCTGGCTGTGCGTGCCGCACCAGAGCGCCGTGCCTGAGACCTGGCTGTGCGTGCCGCACCAGAGCGCTGTGCCTGTGGCCTGCTGGCTGTGCGTAGCGTGTGGGCCCCGCGCCTGTGGCCTGCTGGCTGTGCGTGGCGTGTGGCTGTGGGGCCAGGTGACAATAGGAATGACACTTGCTTGTAAAGAAGCCAGACAAGCTGCTTTGTTGTGCCCCTCCCAATGTGGGACCCTTCTGGAGAGCCCCGCCCCCCAGTCTTGTCTGCCTAAAAGTGGTGGCTGGAAACATTGAAACCCGGGTTCAACCAATGACTCTGTGTCTGCCAAGGCCGGCGGGGGAGGGGGATACGTTGCTAGCAACAGGGAAGGGCTGGGACTTTCTGCCCCGTTTATGACCCATCTGTAGGGTTTGGGGGGTGAGCTATGACCCCTGGTTACTCCGGCTGTGTCCCAGGAGCTCCCCTGGCTTGGAAGGTTGCAGTAATTCCAGGGGTGCCGAGTGCAGAGTCTGCCCTTGGCTCTCCCTGGAGCTCCCGAGGCTGGAATGGTTCACGGCAACTAGAACCAAACCTCCCCTGGATCTGCTTTCTGGGCTCCGTGCTGTCAGCGCAGGACTGGCACACGGACGCCCTGACATTCACCAGCCATGCCCCATCTGGAAGGCAGAGGTGCTGGAGCGGGACTGGGGCTTTTATTCTTGGCTCTGCCAGTGGCCTCCAGGGTGACCTTGGACAAGTCACTTCCTCTGCTCTGTGCCTCGGTTTCTCCATGTGCACACAGGGGTTAAGGAATGCTAGCGGCTCCCTTTGCAAAGTCCCTGAGCTCTGCTGACGAGACATATACATTTATGGATATATAAGAGGTTGCGATTGATCCACTCGGAAGCAAAGCCCTCCTTAAGAAATGCATCATTTCTGGTGGGATGCAGCTGATTCCTTGCTCTGCCGGGACCACTTTCCGTTTGATCAGCTGTGGTTTAGCAATCTTACTGTGGGCCTTCCAATATCTGCCTCTCCCCAGATGACTCCAAACTCCTTGGTCTACAGCACAAGCCTGTTCTACAACCCCAGCCCTGCCAGCAACCCAGTGATCCAGAGAACCAATCCAGCTGTGATTCCTGTTGAGTGTCACTATCCCAGGTGAGGTGAGGTGAGGCTCCTGTCCTTGCACTGACTGGCCATTCTGGGGTCTGTCTTAACCCCGGGACCTACCGTTCCAGGAAGGACAATGTGAGCAGCAGAGCCATCAAGCCAACCTGGGTCCCCTTCAGCTCCACCTTGTCTGCGGAGGAGAGGCTGGGTTTCTCCCTGCGCCTGATGAACGGTAGGTGGGGGGCCATGTCTCACCTGACGTGCCAATACCTGTTGCTCTGGACCCCTCTCCAGCTTCACAGGGGCTCTCCGAGGACTCTAGGGGTCAGGACAAAGCTGGGCACCGCTTGGTACTGCAAGAAGGAGATTTGAACAGCAGAGCCTGAATAATCCACAGGCCATGCACCTTTCCCTAGCTAGCTTCTCCTGCCCCCAGGGGGATCCCCGCTGAGGCTGCTCTGGTGGGTCTGTCCCACCTGGTCCCACTCCCACCTGCTGCTCTCACCAGCCCCGCCCCCCCCCCCGCCAGTCCGGGCGCTGGGGTCTCGAGGGAGCCAGCCCCTCGGCCCGGGATGCTCATGCAGAGCTTGCCTTGCAGATGACTGGAGCGCCGAGAGACCCTCCAGTGGCTTCCAGCTGGGAGAGCTCATGCACATCCAGGCTGATGTCAGCACTGAGAACCACGTGGCTTTGAGGCTCTTTGTGGACAGCTGCGTGGCCACCCTGAGCCCAGACAGGGACTCTTCTCCCCGCTACGCAATCATTGACTTCAATGGGTAAGGGCTGGGTGTCCCTGGGGGCTCTCTGCTGCTGTAGCTGCTAAGGAGCTGGCTTGGCTCACTCCGTGATGACGGTGACTCTTGTGTCTAGCTGCCTGGTGGACGGGAGATCAGAGGACAGCACCTCAGCCTTCATTTCCCCCCGGCCCAGGCAGGACTCGCTGCAGTTCACCGTGGATGTGTTCAAGTTCGCTGCAGACGCCAGCAACCTGGTGAGACGCTCCTCCCCCTAAGCCCAGACTCAAGAGGGGCTGGAATCCGCTGCGTGTGCGGCTAACCCCTCCCTGCCCCTTCCCCTCCAGATCTACATCACCTGCCATCTGAAAGTCACGGCTGCTGAGCAAGCCCCCGACCCCTTGAACAAGGCCTGCTCCTTCAGCAAAGCTGGCCAGACGTGAGTAGCTGGAGCCAGGACAGGAGCCTGCGAGAGGAGGCAGTGGCTGGGCTCCGGGGTTTGGTCACCGTGGGGCCGGGCCCTGGGCTGAAGGATGTGACGCTGATGTAGGCCGGCGACATGGCACATCCGGCAGGGCGCCGGCTCTGAGGACCCGGGATAACTGCTCCCAGGACTGCGGTTGTTTTTGCGAGGGGGGAGAAGGGGCCGGTCCCTGTGGAAACCCTTCGCCCTGGGCCCCTTGTGAGCGAGCTGAGCTCCTTGGCTGTGCACGTGGGGCGGGGGCCCGACCCTGCCCAGCCGGAGGTAACCCTCTCCTTCTGCTCCAGCTGGCTTCCCGTGGAAGGCACCAGAGACATCTGCAGCTGCTGTGAGACGGGCGCCTGCGGGCTGCTGGGAGGCCAGTCCAGGAGAGCGAACCCCCTGGACAGGTGGTCGGGGTGGCGCTTCCAAAGAGACGTGCCCCCCGGGCAGGGTAAGGGCTCGCCGGTGGCTGCCGCACGGTGCGGTGCCGCTCTGGCCATAGCCGGGGCTCTGCCCCAAGGCTGGGCTGGGGCGTTACTGGGCCTCTCTCTTCCCTCTGTGCAGGCGCGTCCGGGGGCAGAGACGTCCAGGCTGACATTGCAGTTGGACCCGTGTTCATCCTTGGCCCAGGCTCACGGGGTCTCCGGGAAGGAGGGCGGGAAGCTCCCCAGGGTAAGGCACCTGCAAGCCCCGGGGCCTGGCTCTGGGCCCGGCGTTTCTGTTCTAATGGCCCCTTGTCTCCCCGCAGGTGCTGCAGGGGAGCACGGCGCCATGGTGGGCCTGGTTTCCACGGCAGCAGCCGTAGCCGTGGCCTGGTTTCCATGGCTGTGGCGATAGCTCCGGCCTTTCCCCGTGTAGTCGCCTCCTTCGCCCGGGAACGCAACCGGCCTGGGCGTC